CTCATCTGGTTGGGCTCCCAACAGAATATTAAAAAACACAATAAAACAGCAAACATTAAAAACTTCCCTAAACAGGGCTGCCTTCAGATGTCTTTTAAAAGTGAGATAGTTGCTTATTTCCTTGACATATGCTGGGAGGGCATTCTACAGGGCAGGTGCCACTGCCGAGAAGGCCCTCTGCCTGGTTCCCTGTAACCGCACTTCTCGCAGGGAGGAAACCGCCAGAAGGCCCTCGGAGCTGGACCTCAGTGTCCGGGCTGAACGATAGGGGTGGAGACGCTCCTTATACTGGGATTTGTTTCCCGGTGCGTTAGGTGCGGAGTGCAGGTCCCAGTAACACTTTCTGGGATCCTAGCCCCATTTCTCTGGAAATCCGTCCGGAGGGATTTACACACAAGGAAAGCCGCGACGCCTGGAACAAGCTGAGAACTGGATTGCCCAACAGTGTCCTCTCTGCATTGCTCACTCTCACCGCCGCCTCCCTTTCACTTGGGTCCGAGCCTGTGGCCACTGAGCCACGCTGTGGGCCACCAGCCTCTCACCCTTCGTTCCCCACCCCCAAGCCCAGTGTCGGCCGTCTGCCAGCTCCGGGGATCCTGTGCTGTTGTTGCGTCCCGCTTGAATCCGCCGGGTCTCCCTCCCCACCACTAACATTAAGATATCTTCCCCCACGATCGCGCCAGCAGTGCCAGGCGCAACGCGACGCTGCTGAATAGCTCCATAGAGCAGAGCTTGGCTGGAGCTGCAGTTTCTAATTGGAACATTATTGCCCTTCAGGCCCCTCCGAGCGCAAAAAAATGGAGAGAGGAGCGCCGGTCTCCGGCAGGTCTCCATGCAGTTTTATAGCTCAGCATGCAGGAATTCAAGCCTCGTTTTGCAAGCGGCCTTCCGTTTGTTACAAGAAGCTCAGGACTGTATTCGGTAGGTATATAAAGAGAAAAGGCCCGGGCATCTGTGCGGCAAAGCTGGATTTTAAGATGGACGTGCAACAGGTCCTCGTGATCTGTATGGGGAATTGCAACTCCCGTCTAATGGAGGCGGGCGCAGTTCGGCCACCTTGAAGTACCTTGAAGCCCCGTGGACTTTAATGGGCGAGAGAGTTAGTTAGGCGCTTAATTCTCTCCCCTGCTAAAGTCACTGGGACTTAGGACTGCAAGCCTAAAAGCAGTCTTTCTGGAACTCCAGTAGAGTTTATCTCAGAGTTAACCCGGGTGAAAGTGAAATTCAACTACTGATTGGGGCTATTTTATAGCTACAGAAGTCCTTTTCAAACGATATGCTGGGGGGAAATTATCAGGATTTATATACTGCTTAATCATCAAAATCTGAAAGCGGTTTACATAAAATAACGCGAGGGTAGAGGCGTGGCCTCTATAACAATTTCTCTCCACGTGTACTCGGAGGCAAGGAATCTCCGCAAGCACACGCTTCCACCTCTTTGGATCCTGTTCTGAGGCATCCTCCCTCCAGACGTGTGAGCGCTTCTACAGTTATTCACGCGCCAGGGCGTAAGACCTTGTGCAGGCTTCCACGCTATATGGAGGGTTCTCGATCGCGTGGTTTCCCTGCCGCCTTTCACACGTTTACGCGCTCTGAGTGGACGCTAGCAGGAGGTCTACTCGCGCCGAACCCTCCCATACCCTCTCCTCGCGTGTTCACATTCAATGTCAGCAAACAGCCCCTCCCCCCAACACGTGCCCTGCTCCATTTCTGAACTCTTGTTATTAACATGTGCTGCTGTTTTTCTTACTCGCCCACCTAGAAATACACTTTGGCTTTGCTAGTCCACCCCATAACTGTCAACGTTTCCCTTTTTTAAAGGGAAATTCCCTTATTCCGAATAGGATTCCTCGCAAAAAAGGGGAAAAGTTGACAGCTATGATCCCCCCCCCTCCGATTTTCTTTTCCTGGTGCCGTCACTATCAGCATAACGCCTGAAGAGGGTTAATAATCTTCCCCAAAACAGTAAAGGCCATCCCCTCCGGAGACAAGTCGCTAATTTAAGTGCTTCTCCCCATAAATTAGCAAATTCAGAATATGTACAACCAGCCAGATTGTAGTTGCAGATCATTTGCAAATAACCAAAGGCTTCACTTCTTAGGTATCAACCCTGATATAAACTCTGAACAAGAAGTAAGGCTGGAACCTTCAGATAATTTCCTTCCGAGGAGCCTCACGGCAGGACGGATAAGATCTGAATTTCTGAAGGTCTGTTGTGCACAATCTTACGGTGATCTACAGTAATTGTCAAGAACTCTGGGTGGAGTCCAGAATCAATGCAGTCATAGGAATTCTATCATTGGCTTTAATGATGCGAGGACTGCATCCCAGATAAACAGCTCGGCTCTTCCCCTTTCTCAAAGTGAAAAGAAGCCGGGCAAGGCTATGGTCTCGTGGTCCTACGAACGGCTGACCGGACAATTATTCACGTTTTCCAAACGAGGCCGACTACCGGCTAGATGGAGACATCCCTTCGCGAGTTTCCCATCGGACAAAGTGGACCCGTCCTCCCAGGGCCGTGCATGGCAAATTGTCGACTATGCTTGTCTTACACAACCAGACGTTCCTTTCACGGGACACAAAGAAAGGGTTTCATTTCATGGGGATTCAGAATTGCCCCACCAACCAGAAAGTTTGCGAAACCCGGAGGGGAGGGTTGGGAGGGAAAGGAGAACAAACACATGTAGCATCATTCTGCCGAGAAAAAAATGCCAAGAATCGTCTGTGTGTGTGTGTTATTGGCTATCTGTGGTGAGTCTTTGGTGATAATATTGTGAATGAAAACGCGAGACCTCTGAGAAATGATGGCCTCCCTCGAAAGCAAATATCATTCTATTTAGGCTTCTGCTGCCTAAACAAACAAAAAAAATGTGAACGAATAAAACAATCACACCAAGGAAGCGCGGTGCGGGAGGGAGTCCTCGGGACGTTCGAAATGCTCCCATTGGCTGAATCGGGCCCTCCGGCGTTCCATTGGAATTCTCCGTGCACTTTGCGTAAAAATCTTCTTCTCTCTCCCCCGCCCCCAAGCCACCAGCAAGATCCTGGGGACCCGATCCCGTCCCGTCCCGGCTATTTGAGCGAAGAAAGGGCCGCCCCCCTTGGGCCTATGGCTTTTCATTTCCCAAGAGGAGACAAAAGTCGCTCAACTTCTTCCCCTGCCGGGGAACTTGTTCACATTCCAGGCGAACGATTAGCCACGAATGCCTGGACCCCCATATTAGCCCAGCGGAGAGGATTTCACGCCTTTCCAGTGGAAATAGCTAAAAATGCTCCTGCTAATTATAGAGCTCTTCCAGGCCAGGTGCACTTTTAATTGGATTAGTAAGTGCTCAATATTAAACCTGCAGCACATCAAATGGGCAGGGAAAATTAGAGCTATTAACAACACCCAGGCAATTATTTATGGACGGTAACATTAGTATGTTTCTCCCCTGTTGGAAGGAAAAATATCAATTATGCTATTTAGCAGGCTTCCCACCCGCTCTCAAATACAGTAGAAAGCTTTCCTATTCCAGTTTCTCATGATTTTTCTTTAATAAAAAAATAGAAGTCTAGCATAAAGGAACTTCTAAGCTGTTCGGGACAACAATAACTTGCCAAATCACCTCCCGCCCCCTAACCTTTGGAGCATCTGTAAGTTTTTGCAAAGAATAATTCCAGTTGCCAACTTGGAAGAAAGATCCCCCCCCCTCAAAATTAAGGGAATTTTGTTTCCGGGTAGCTGCGTTTAGGCTTTTAGATTGCAAAGAAGAAAGAAAGAAAGAATTGGCGTGGCTGATCCTGCGAAAGATTCCCTTATGGACCAGGCAGCTTTATAAGAGAAGAGCACGATTCTGAAACGTGCCTCTCTTTATTGCACAACTCACGCAGAAAACGATATAGCCCAAGTCAAGAACTTTCAATTTATGTTGATTTCAATGGAGAGTTAGACATGCACCTAGAAAGACTTTTCTCCCCTCCGTTTAGTTTTCGAAGTTTAGTTTTAGCTGGATCGTAAGTACACAATTTCAGTTCAGTCTTAGTTATTACTGGTTGTAGTTTAGCGGACCGTTTAGCGTGGTGCGTGTTGGTTTGCTTTTGTGGGTGTTTCTTTTTGAGCGACACACTCATTTTCTCTCTCCTTTTGCTGCCTGCTTTTATCCCACGATATAGATTCACGGCAGACTGAATGAAAAACAAGGCATGCAAAGTACCTTTTAAAAGTTATTTGTTTATTTTGAAAGTAAGGGTTGCTGATGGGGATTCCCCCCCCCCCCAGATCTGCAGCTCTTGGGGCGCACGTGGATGCATTTCTTCGTGCGCTGGCTAAAGCTATTTTGGTCCGGCGCTTGCCTTCACTTCGTTGGCTTCCTGAGTAGGTAGGAAAACGTCGCTCCTGCCTCTCAAATGAAAGTGTAACGGCTAGAGGAAATTAAAGCTGCGATTTCAGCGGAAAAGTGGGTGTTTTCAGTACAGTACAAACAAATGGAGCCAGCCAAGGAAACATAGGGGACGCTGGTGGCGCTGTGGGTTAAACCACAGAGCCTAGGGCTTGCCGATCAGAAAGTTGGCGGTTCGAATCCCCGCGACAGGGTGAGCTCCCGTTGCTCGGTCCCGGCTCCTGCCAATCTAGCAGTTCGAAAGCACGTCGAAGTGCAAGAGTCCTCCGCGACTGGACCTAATGGTCAGGGGTCCCTTTACCTTTACCTAAGGAAGCATAGACTTCTCTGAACCCAGTTGCCTCAAGTTAGGAAATAGGAACTTTAGAAAGAAATCTCAGTGGCGGCAGGGTGGGGAACTACATTTGCCAACCCTATCAGTGCTTACTTGGAACTTCCAAGTTGGAAGTAAGTCCCATTGAGATCAATGGGGCTTACTCCTTTGTGTATTTAGGGTCACAGCCTAATGATTTCGTATTTTCGTTTATTTATGTGCATGAAGAAGCACAACCATCCCTATTAACCGATTAAAGGTGGGCTAAGTAGACCTTTTGGTCCTGTTTCAATTCAATTCATGCATGAAGTTGGGATCCCGTACAAGCTTCCTGCGAAGTAAGTCTCATTGCATTGGAATAAGCTGGACTTGACTTTTGATTGGAATGTTGGACTTCTGAGAAATCACACCCTGGATCCAGTTGCAGGTTAAATGTTCTCAGGCACGCCGAGCGATCCTCGGCAAGTTTGCGTGGAGCTAACAGTCCCACAGAGTTTAATTTCCCTGCCACATTGCTTAGACTTGCACACCCCAAACGCTTCGGCGTCGTAAACCGTAGTGGGACTTGAGACGCAGGTTTAACTTTTGACTCCCAGCAAATTGCATGAATCTCCCGCGCTTTGAAGTCAGTTCCACTGGACTCAATAGGAATTTAATTTCCAAGTTAAGGTGTTTGGGATTGGGGCAAGGGTTTGGAATCTCTCCACCACTGCCACCCAGTTATTTGCAAGCACTGAGGCTGAAGCTGTAAACAGGAAAACAACCAAGCAGTTGGGAAGCTGATCTTAAATACGGCGTCCTCTTTTGTATTAAACATCTTATCTGGAGGAAGCAACGCTCACTGATTTCAACGGAACAAACTTCCAGGCAATATTTTTAGGACAGGACTTCCAAACAAGATTTGACCATGTCTAACTCCCAGATAGATCCATCACTAACAGCTCAAGCCCTATGCATGTTTATTAGGTGGAAAGTCATCCTTAGAAAGTTAATTCCATTGACACTAATGCCATTTAATTGGATCTACTATTCTTTGGTTTTCTTCCACAGGTAAATATGTTTACAAACTGATATTAAATGCGACAGTTTCGCCGAGTTCGATGAGATGTTCAAGATGTTCCATGCAAGCTTTACTTTTTAAAAAAAGTCCCACTTACAACTTATTCTTAAACATGGAAGTTAAGCCTCATGGGCTTCAAAGGGACTTACTCTCAGGTAAGGGAGTATAAGATTACATACAATCTTAATTGAGTGGAGTTTACTCCAAAGTAAATGTGCATGGATTGCAGATTTACCTCTTGTGAGCAAAAGAGCTGAAGAAGAGCACAAGAGATTTACCTCTTGTGAGCAAAAGAGCTGAAGAAATGCAAGCCGTCCAATTCTATCCATGTTTACTCGGAAGTAAGTCATATGCAGACTTATACATAAGCTTGTATGAATTAGTTTGCACAGGACTGTCCTATGCACACAAATATATTTGCAGTGCACTGTCACTGGAGCTGCATGCCCTCTCTTTATTTATTATAGTTTTTGCAAGGAATCAGAAGGGGTAAATCCATAACTAGCAGAAAACAGCAGACCCTAACTATACAGCTAGGGACTAAATCTGCCATTCTAAGCAGACTAACATGGGGGCGTGTTTATTGAACACCGTGGAAATTACTTCCATCAAGTTAGGCATAAGCTCAGGCTTCACAGTTCAGTTTTTCACATTATATCCTGGTCTGAAATCAGTGAGACAATTGCCAATTTAAGACGTCTGAGCTTATGGCACTTGTTGAGATTCCACCCGCGTAACCCTCAGAATATTCGCTCATAAACTGAGTTCAGTTGGACTTACTGCCTGGTATAAGGTTGCAGCCTTACGTTAATATCTCAGCCCCAAATATATAAACTCACTGAAATGCATAGGGGGAAATCCTGAGTAAACGTCCTTAGGATAGTGTGAAAAGGAAGCTTCACGGGGGGGGGGGTCAGCTACCCTCTCTTACTTTTATCACGTAATTATTATGTAATTATTATGTAGCTGTGCGTAAAGCATTACTACTCTCCGTGGAGCATATGCATTGGAATCTGGGCTTTAGCCTGCAAATAAAAATTCCTTTTCAGGATTGGGTGGGGCGGGGGCGGGAGAGAGAGATAAATGGACCCCTCTCTGCAGAAAGTAATGATTAGCGGACTATAAAACGAGCGCAGCGGTCTTAGGGTACCCCTCTGTTTCCAAGCGAAGTCAATTTCCACAGCCAACCGACGCTCACCAGGCTAGCGGCATTTTTATGACTCCGGTCAAGTGGCACCATCTCTCCTCAAAGGGAACCTCGCCTGGAAAAGCAGCAGGAAATTCGTCAGGCCGGCCCTGCACGAGGTTTTGAGCAGCGGTCCTTGGATCGTTTGCAGCGATCAAGCGCCACCGAGGGACAAACCTCGCCACGTCCTGCAGCGCCCAGATAATAAATTCCCTACGTTCTTCATAGTGAGACGATCTTCTCCAGCAATCGAACCCATCACTCCAGTTATACCCAACATATCAGATCTCATTCGCCTGGCTCTGGTTGAGGGCAAAGATAATACACACACCACACGGATTTTATTGGGATTCCCTTCCGAGAATGTGTCCTTTTGGTACGATGCTTTCGTCAGCTCGCGTCCCAAAACGCACTTGAGGGCGCATGTTCTATTGAAATAAAGGGGGCCTGCGGTCCAAGGATCGGAATGGTAGGTTAGAAATCCCCAAGCACTCTTACACGGATGTATATATGAGATCATCTGAGTATCCTTGCATCCCAGTTCAACAGCGCTTACTCTTAAGTCTACAAAGATTTTTGCAGTTTGGGCTGTTGGGGGCACCTTTCCTCCAAGGACAGCGGACAGTCATACTATAAACTTAGGTTTTACAACAAGAGGAAACTTTATAAAGCAATCGCTGGCCACGTGCAATCCCAAAGGACTGGTAAATGGTAATTTTAATTGTTGGTTGCAGTAGGAACAGATCTGCAGTCACTGTTTAAAAAATAAACACAGAAAGGCTCTTTGGTGCGGGACAGACTTCGCGCAGGTCCGTACCTGTGCACAGCCTAAATTATTCTAGAAAATAGAATAAACTAGGCACACTTTTCCTTAAATATGCATGGAATTGCTGTCTAAAGCTGCAGTGTATGCTCACTTATAACGGGATAAATCTCATTGATTTCAGTGGGACTTATTTCCGAGGAAACATGCATAATCTCTTAAACATTCAGTAGAGCGCTGTGTGAAACTTTCTCCTGAAAGGTTGCAAAGATGTCAGAAGTCCACAGTAACTCGGAGCAGGACTTTTAGTGTGGCTGTCCCTGTTCTGTGGAATAGTATGTTCCTGTTCAGATATGACAGGCGCCCAATGGCCGCTATCTTCACTTTCCGGAAACAATTGAAGAACTGAAGACAGCTGGATAAATGAGTCTTTTCCAGGAGTGTCTAATTTGTATTACTTTGGTTCTGTATTAAATATAACGGCTGTTTTGTGTTTTAAACTTTTTCTGTTTTTATTGTATATCGCCATGGTGCATATCCTTGAGGCAAGTGTGTAAAAGGGATGATGATGATGATGATGATGATGATGATGATTAGGCTGCATGACTTCAATCCTATGCAACCCCTTTAGGAGCAAACCTTACTGAACTCAGTGAAACTTTCTTCCCAGCAAACATACACAGATAGGATCCGGTTTCACTTGCAAGTTCCACAACAGGCAGAAAACGCAAGAAAACTGACGCTACAGAAATCTAAAAGCTGAAAAACTTTTCAGTAAATCCTGATCGCTCGATTTTTTTTTCCCTCCAAGAAACCCGTTGGGGGCGGAAAGGGAAGTGTGTGATGAGTTTTTAACGTGTTTATGTCTAAATGATTTCGGCAAGAGCCTTAAATACTCAAAAGCTTTCAACAAGTGTGTGACATTTTGGTTGGTCCTAATACAGTGGTACCTCGGGTTACATATACTTCAGGTTACATACCCTTCAGGATACAGACTCCGCTAACCCAGAAATAGTACCTCGGGTTAAGAACTTTGCTTCAGGATGAGAACAGAAATCGCGCGGCGGCGGCGCGGCAGCAGCGGGAGGCCCCATTAGCTAAAGTGGTGCTTCAGGTTAAGAACAGTTTCAGGTTCGGACCTCCGGAACGAATTAAGTACTTAACCCGAGGTACCACTGTAAAGGACAGATTTCTGAGTGATGTTTTTCCAGGTATTTTGGAGGGTTTGTTTTTTTAAATGGACGAACTAGGCTACAGTTGCTTTCTTTGAGTCCAAGAGAACTCAATCTTAGGTAACAATGTATAGGTTTGCACGCGCCATTAAATGGGAAACTCTCATCTTTGTTTCGGTGGAAATTGCTTAACAACCAAGTATGCCCGCCTGGAGTTTCGGTGTCTCAAAGGTGAGAAAGAGTGCGTGTGTGTTTGTGTGCGTGTACACAAACACAAATACTGGACTGGCTGCCAATACATTACCAAGCTAAGCTTCCAGATATTACTGTGAACATCCTAAATGCCCAGGACCTTCAGGTCACCTGAAGGTCTCCCATATACACTGGCCAGGCCACTGCGAACACTGCCCCTACTGAAATCCAAGCATTTTTGAGAAAATGAATTGGAATCGGTGCTGGTCATTTATTCTGGATATTATGCTATTTAAATGCCTTTACTGTAGGTAGCCATGACTTTTCATAATGAAAAGGCGGTATAAAAATAGCTATAGAACTAAATAAGCAACACGTACAGGGGTGTGTGTGTGTGTGTGTGTGTGTGTGTGTGAGAGAGAGAGAGAGAGAGAGAGAGAGAGAGAGAGAGAATTCTGGTGTGCTTGAAGGAAAATGTTTCCAAGGCTGAAATCTAAATACTTAGGGATAAATCCTGCCGAACTCCGAGGCCCTTTGCATGGGACCAGAGTGGACGTCAACAAAACACGACCCATTGGGCTGGAATTCCAAACTCTCCTAGATAGACTCCTATAAAGCGCGCAGCCCTTCCCTCTGCCTCCGGCTGGTTAGGAGGCCATCCGCTTCCCCTCCCTGTTTCCCCGTCCCGGGTAAATGTGACACCCCCTCCCCAAGAGAGGGGAGCCAGCCTTCCTCTTCCCTGCCTTTAGCCTTTTTTTAAAAAGTCCTTCTCAATCAAGTAGCCCGAAGATTAATTGTTCGGAGGGTTCCTTTCACCTCCCTCGACTGCCGAAACATAATATGAGATGGCGAAAGAAAGGGAAAAAAATTAACAGTCAGGACCTAGAGAGAAAAAAGTGGGGGGAAGATTAACATTTGGGATCTTATGAAATGTAATCTGCATATCTAATTGATTCCCAGCATATCAGTTGAAAGGATAAAGATGTATATCTGCGCGATGGAGATTGCATTAATAGCCACATAAATAAAGGTTGGGAAGTCATCAGGGGGCCCTTTGAAGCTTGCGCCCCGCGCTTTTATGGGCCTGACACACTTTCGCAGCGCTCCTTCGAAGGACCGCCTTCGCTGCTGCTGCTGCTGCTGCTGCTGCTGCTGCTGCTGCAGAACTCTGGAACCGAAGCATCTTGGTCATAAGAGAGAGACAGAGGAGGTTAGCTGGGCTTTCCCTGTTGCTCGCGGGCTATGGACAAGGCAGGTGCGCTCAAGGGTGAAGAGCCTTCCGGGATCCCATCATCAGCGAAGAAATCAAGCGGAGACACAATTGGGGAGCCAGATATGTTGCAAAAGAATTGCCAAAGAATCTCTCCCCTATCTCGCTTTCCCTCTCATCAGCTCTAAGGCGAAAAGGGAAAGGAGTCGGGATTTTACTGATGGATGGATTGGCCGCTTCATGACAAAATGAGCGATCTATGCCGTTTGCGAAATACAGAAAACAGTCCCACGGTCGTTAAAATAGTAACATCCGTAAATAAATCCGTAAATAAAACACACAGTAAAAACAACCCGGTGAAAACAGTTTATAGAAATAGCTTTCCTCTACAGACACACTTTGAAAAACGGATCATGCCTGAAGCAGATCCAGGAAGCGCTGCGGAATATTGGTTCGATTCCTAGGAGAGGCTGGTCTTGAAAAGGGGCGCGCGGGACGCGAGGAACTAGAGGTCGTCTGTAGGCAACGCTAAGTGGGATAAAATGCCGTGCAGGGTTTCTGCGGTCCTGTAGACTGGGAGAGGGGGAAGAGAGAGCGGTCAAAGAAGCTGGACGGATTGCAGAGCTCAAATTCGCATACGATGGGGGAGATTCGGGGTTTTAAGTAGGCAACCGAACTGTATTTATAAAATCATGCATGGCATGAAGAAAGAGGACAGAGAAAAGTTTTACTCTCTCTCTAGAACTCGTAGTCATTCAATGCAGCGGAATGTTGGAACAGTCAGAAGAGATAAAAGAAAGACCTTCACGGAACACAGTTAAACTACGAACTCACTTCCGCAGAAGGTAGTGGTGGCCTGGATGGCTTTAGAAGAGGTTGGACCTTTAGAAGAGGTTTAGACATTCTTGGAGGAGACGGCTATTGATGGCTATGCTCTGCGTCCATGGTGGAAGGCAGCACAATGGTACCTCGGGTTAAAAACTTAATACATTCCGGAGGTCCGTTCTTAACCTGAAACTGTTCTTAACCTGAGGTACTACTTTAGCTAATGGGGCTTCTTGCTGCTGCTGCGCCGCCACCGCTAGATTTCTGTTCTCATCCTGAAGCAAAGTTCTTAACCCGAGGTACTATTCCTGGGTTAGAGGAGTCTGTAACCTGAAGCGTCTGTAACTCGAGGTACCACTGTAATGCTTCTGAATACCACTTCCTGGTAACCGAAGGAGGGGAGAGTGCTGTTCTGCTCGGATTCTGCTTGCAAGTTTTCCCATAGGTCAGGCTAGATGGGCCATTGGTATGATCCAGCAGGCTCTTCACCTGGCATTGGTGAGCAGCATAATGTCCATCTAGGTGTAAGTAGATCTCCTAGGATCTGGGAGACCAGGGTTGTTGGAATCCCCTCTCAGCCATGAAGCTCACTGGGCAACCCTGGGCCAGTCACTGCCTCTCAGCCTAACCCAGAACACAGCTTCTACCCAGAACAAACTTAGTTGGTCTCTAAGGTGCTACTGGACAATTTTATTTATTTATTTCTACCTCACAGGGTTGTTGTGGGAAATAAATAAGGAGGGGATGAACAATGGACTCCATCTTGAGCTTCTTGGAACAAAGGTGGGATATAAACACAATAAATAAATAAGCCAGAGACAGTGCTGTACATGTGCGCTGCAGGTGTGTGTTTTCATGTGCTGATGAGTGTGCAAGTGTGTGAATGATGAGTGAAGTAGGATGAAAGTCCCTGTGGGGTAAGTGTATATGTGTGCATAAGTTTGGCCTTCTCTACCCTGTTACATTATAGAGTAAGAAGAGTCTTGCTGGATCAGGTCAAAGATCCATCTGGTCCAGCATCCTGTTCTCACAATGCCCAGCCAGATGCTTGTGCACTGATGGACCTACATTTTGGGGGCCCTGAAGCTTGAACTGTATAGGGACCCCTTCGCAACCAGCAACAAGGTCTGATTAACTCCTGTTATTGTCTTCAAAGGGGTTGTTCCACGGCAGATTGCCACATTTTCCCCATGAGTTTACATTTTCCCCTATCCACTCAAGTACTTTCATGAACTCATTGTTATTTGTTATTCTTCTCAGGTCTTGACCTCTGTCAAAAAAAGGAGGGGGTTACATTTGCCACAGCAGAAGAGCCAATTTAGCACAACGCTTCATCTCTATAACACCTGTGCTATTGAATCTCAAGCTTTGGGATTCTTGAAATTCATACAACAACAAAAAACTAAGCAACTTGTGATACTCAGATTGGGTCTACTAGACTTACGGGATAGATTCCAGGTGTATGTATTTTGTAACTTAAGTCTGCCTTCTGGGGTCCATCTGTGAACAGAATGTGTGTGAGTAAACTCTTTTATACTTTTATACAAGACTATGTCGTGTCTAACCTTTTTATGAGGGAATAAAGGGGAATTATCAGGAAACTTATTTTAGAGGCTTATACAAGCCTGGCAAAGATGTTATCCACTGTACAAGTTTAAAAAGGGGAATGTTACTCTGCTAAATTGTAGAACTTGTTAACACAAGTTGGGAAGGATATAATTAAACAATATATCCTCTCCTGCCTCCCTGAACGTTCCCACAGGAAGCCCATGAGTGAAACAGGGCTCTCCCCACCTATGATTCCCAATGTCTAGGGAAACCTCTGTCTGTGGTGTTCTAGATCTGTATTTCCCAGCCTGTGGTCACAAAGCCCACGCAAGTGGATTATGGGCTTTAGAAGCACATCCAAAATAATGGCTGCTTTTAATCCTTAACTGGTGTGGTAATACCCCTTACAACTTTTTGTTTCGTTGACATATTATAATGCCATGTTGACACTTTTAACTGAAGTTGGAGAGGTTTGAGTCTCACATTTTAACACTTGTGAACCACTCTCTGGCAGGCAGATCAGAGGGCAATTGGCCACAAAGGGCTCATATAA